AAAGACCATGGTTCTACCGAACCAAATGCGGGATGAGGACAACAAAGCACTTGGTCTGGGGTACATGGTGGAGGAGGATAAACTCCATGTCATGTTCAGCATAAATTTCTCAAAGAGAAAAAAGAAAATGCGACTTGGACAAGACCTCGAGTTGGACCAAATCAGAAGTCAAACACCAAACCCTTTGACAAGGCGAGAGCTCCTCAGTCAGGTGTCTGGTCTGTATGATCCAGTTGGCTTGGTAACACCTGCAAAACAGAAGGGTGCAATCCTGGTTCGGAAAGCTTTCCAAGCGGCCAAGAATGTGAGTAAAGAAGTAAAAGACACCTGGGATTTGGCACTTTCAAGTGACCTTAGAGAAGATGCAGTCAAGCTCTTTGAAGAGTACACTCAGCTTAGTAAGATCCAGTTTGCTAGAGCATTAACTCCCTTTCATAACAGTGGTAACCCTTTAGCAATTACATTCTCAGATGGAAGTGAATGTTCTTATGGAGCAGTGTTGTATCTGAGATGGGGATCAGCTCCAGACCCATCCATTAGGCTGGTGGAATCCAAGGCTAAGCTTACTCCATTAGAACAAAAAGGTGAGGCTGTTAAAGCAGAGATGTGTGGAGCAGTATTCGCATCACGATTAAAGAAGTACTTTGAGATGCATAGCCAAATCAAAGTTCAGAGGTGGTATCACTTTGTTGATAGTCAAACCATTCTTGGAGCAATTCAAAGAGAAAGCTACGGTTTCCAATCATTCTTTGCAAATAGGATTGGAGAGATTCAGAGCAACACAACAATCCAAGATTGGTGGTGGATTCCTGGGAATCAAAACATTGCTGACATCATTACCCGAGGAGCCAGCCCTCAAGATCTTGGCATTGACTCTGAGTGGCAACAAGGCCCAGCATTTCTAAAGTCCCCAGTTGAAATGTGGCCAATTAAATCATCTAAACAACTTGCCATCGATGCAAAAGGAAGCATCACCAAGTTGCAAAAGAAAGCATTTATTGCTGTGACCACAAGAACTGGGATAAAGGAATCAGAGCTCAAACAAGAATTACATCAAAATCAAATGGAGGTCTTGGCAAAGAAGCAGCGGCCACCTATATCTATACAGAACCTGGTAGATGTTTGCCGCTTTAGCAGTTTAACACGACTGGTCAAAACAATTGTCTGGGTTTGGAGAGCAGCGAAAAGATTCATGAGGAAGAATCAAGCTCTAAGTAAACCAAAGTGGGAGGCAGTCTGCTCAACAGGGGTAATCTCTGTGAGAGAACGAGAAGGTGCTCTCAGGGACATTTTTCTTGCTGCTCAGATGGGTGCCAATTTTCCTGACACAACCATAAATAGGTTGGTGGTGTATCAAGAAAAGGAGTCTGGATTATTACTCTGTGGCGGCAGAGTACAGATCTTTAGAGAAGACAGAGCTGCAGTTCCCATCATACCCTATGATGCCTGGGTATCAACGTTGTTGGGCCGAGAAGCTCATAATGCTGCACATGATGGAATTGCAGGAACCCTACTGAGGATGAGGCAAAAAGCCTGGGTTGTAAAAGGACGGAGGATAGCCCAAAAGATTGTTGACAACTGTATGGTCTGCAGGAAAACTCGAGCTCTTAAGTGTCAGCAGTTGATGGGTGATTTGCCACCTGAGAGGGCTGAGCCTGCTCCTCCCTTTAAGTTCACTTCAGTCGACCTCTTCGGGCCTTATCATGTCAGAGATGACGTCAAGAAAAGGGTAACGATTAAGGTCTGGGGAGTCGTCTTTTGTTGCATGGCCAGTAGAGCTATTCACACTGAATTGGCAAGCTCGCTTTCGACTGAGAGCTTTCTGATGGCTTATCAGAGATTTACTGCAATCCGAGGTCATCCACAGAAGATCTGGTCTGATGCAGGCACCAACTTTGTTGGAGCAAAACCAGTTTTGGAGGAGCTGTATAAGTATCTGCGCACCCAAAATATATCAGGTTTGGAAGAAACTGCAGCAAAGAACGGGACTGAGTGGGTGTGGAAAATCCTCCCTGCAGACTCACCTCACAGAAATGGAGCTGCTGAAGCTGCTGTTGCCATTGTGAAAAGAGCTTTCCAGAGTCTTGGTCAAGGATTTGCACTAACATTCAGTGAATTTCACACAACTCTCTATAATGCTGCAAATCTTGCAAATGAGTGCCCAATTGATGCCAGAATACAGAGTCGAGAGGGTTATATACAGTACATCACACCTAACAGTCTTTTGCTCGGACGGGCATCTCAGAGTGGCGATGTGAGACTGTTTGATTTTTCCAACTATTCATTTAAGCGACTTGGAGCTATGCAAAATGAGGTTACTAAGTTCTGGAAAAGTTGGAGGCAGCTGGCTGGTCCCAACCTTTTTGTGAGGAGCAAGTGGCACACTTCCCACAGGAATGTTGCTGTTGGGGACATTGTCTGGTTGTGTGACCAAAATGCCCTTAGAGGACAGTTTGTACTGGGCAAAGTTGTAAGTGCTAATCCCGACAAGAAAGGTGTTGTGAGGGATGTAAATGTCCGGGTTGTCCCAAGTTATTGCACTCCCATAACAAAACATGTCAAGCAAAAATCAGTTCATCCACCAAAGAAAGATAAAATGAGGACCACCATTCTTCACAGGGATGTTAGGAGGCTCATCGTCTTAATACCTGTAGAGGAACAAACGGAAAGTCAAGCTATAGAGGAATAAAACTCAGAGATACCAAATACGACAGTGGAAATGCGACCTTCCCATTGGTTCATGGAAAGATCGAGTGGGAGGTGTGAAGTCAAATGAGAAAAGAGGAAAAAAAAAAAAAAAAAAAGTGCACTGTTTCACACGGACCTTTAAGAGGGACGGACAATGGAGGAAGGAGCAGAGGAGAAAGCCAGACAAAGAGAACAAAAGTTTGGGACTCTCATGATTAGAGATCCTGTTGGACTTGTGCAGATCTGGATGAACTTGTAGACGGGTGGAGAGGCAGCCGGTAAGAAAAGCTGTAATTTATGAGATTGGACTGCAAAGTTACCTATGTTCCTCCAGCCTGGCCTTCAGTTTGCCATTAACACCAATTAACAGCTGAGGAGGTGGATTGTGGTGCTAAAGTTGTTTGATTTTATGCTTGAACTTATTGTAATTTTGTTAAATAGCAAATTTTGGTGTTAAGTTTATCTATAAATTAACTATCAGATTAAGAAGAATAACAATATGAAACTATTTATAAAATAAAGTAGTATTTGTATATTTAAATAAATGTAATTGTAAATATTTATTTGAAATGTATTTGAAAGTTAAGGAACTTAAGTTTAGTTACTTGTTCATTTAACTTTAATGACTTTGTGGGTTTGATTCACAGCGGTTTGTTTAGTGTTGTACAGTTTATCATTTTCTTTTGTAGTTTAAGTGGAACTAATTAATGTAAGCTAACATACAAATCAGTATTTATTTTTCTTCTTTTGGGTTTGTTTAAAGGTTTTTACCTGCTTCTGGACCAATTGTAGATATATCCTGACACTCACAAAATAAATAGACGATAAAAGGAAGAAAAATGTGTGGTCCTTTGAGTAAAACCCTGGTCAACAAAGTCTGCATCAATTTATCCATCCCTTTTCAAGTGGGGAAGCTGCATAAGATTAGAAATAACTTGACAGGAAGGGTCTGGCTGCACCTGCAGCCATCTACAAAACACACCTCCCGCCCAGCCAATTGTTGATGATATTGAGTTGGATATTACGTCACCTTGGATGCAGCGGCTCGGCGGAGCAGAAGGAAGATGCCTACTACTAACTTGGTGCATAAAAAATTAATAATAATAATAATCTTGTTTAATGATGGGATTAAGAAATAGTTTAATCCATGACGACATTGCTATACAATTTTGCCTGTATTTTGTTTTCTTATATCATGTTATTTTCCAGGGACTGCACATGCTTTAAATATAAAAATGAAAATGTTAGAAATTGCATTTTTAAGTTCATTTATATAAAATTCTTCTGGTGTGAAACAGCGAACACAGAAAGTGAGGCCGTCTGTGTTTAAAGCTGTTTAGCTTTAAATGCTGTTTATCTCAGATCAGGGGCAGATTTAGGAAATGTGGGGCCCTAGGCAAAGACAGGCAGGGGGCCCTCTGAACTGAGAAGACAACACATAAAACAGACCCATTATACAGATAAATGTTAATAGAATAGACATCCATTATCTGTTCTAGGTTTTGTCCCTCTCTTCTTGTCCCTTTTCTTCTTGTTTTCCTCTCTATGTTTTGTACTCAGCTGACTTTTCATGCTGTCTCTAAAGGAATGAAAGATTTTTTCCAAGCACTAAGCTCACTTAGCTGATTGCTCCTTCCTGTGTTTCCAAAAAGGACAAAGTAAATAACCCAGTCCTTCTTTTCACTGTAGACAAGCCATGATCTGCTTATCTGTTCTCCATTTTTCATTTGGATGAAATAATAGCTGCATGAATCATGACAGCAGACAAGATAGAGGAGAGCAGGAAGCGGGGTTACCAATCTACTTGCTCTGGAGAGCAGAGTTCGCTGCTTTTAGATGTTGTCGCCAAAGTCTCCAGTAGCAGAAAAAAGTTGCTAGATTTGGCGCTAGGAGCTTTTTTTAAATCAAAGTGCTAGAGGGGTCTGAAAAGTCGCTAAATATAGCGACTAAAGCACTAAGTTGGCAACACAGATCTTAGCATAATTTGTTTTCAAATGGTTTGCTGCTGTCTGTTTGGACCTTTCTGAACATGTTTAATAACATGTTTAATTAATGTGCACAAATAAGAAATAGCTGTATTAACCATACATGTAAACAGAGTTTATATTAAGACCTTGGGGCCCTAGGCACCTGGTAAATCCGCCCCTGCTTCAGACTAAAACTTTTTGTTTATTCTATCAGGCATAAATAAACTAGCCTACTTAACCCTCGGTTTGCTTTCCCGGTAATAAACTGGGTCTGCTGATCTGACACCGGATCCAGTGACTGTGAACAGGGACCGGCTGCTGATGCCCAGGCTGGTGATGGCTCACCGGCTGGAGGATCTCCTGCTGCCCGCTCTGGGTCGCCATCCTCCGGGTTGGTTCCGTGTTTTCGCCTGCTTTGCTGAGGCTCCCGCAGTTTTCGGACCGTTATCTGAACGGGCTGCGGTGCCTCAGCAGCTCTCTGCCGGGTGGAGCGGATGAGGACGGCCCCGGTGTCCGAGCCGCAGGAGGACCGACCCGGACTGAGAGGCGGTGGGTCAGAGGGAACCGGAGACAACATGCAGGCAGCGGCTCATCTGTTCCCAGGGAGTCAGACTTTTCAAACTTCCCGCTGCGGGAACTCCTGCTGCCGCCAGAAGAAGCTGGACAGAAACAACAGGAGAATAAATTTCACCTCAGAGACGCAGAGGACATGAAGAGCTTCTACTAACAGACAGCTGAGGTGTTTAAAATCAATAAAACAAACATCTGCTGCTGCTAGAAACTCTACTGGTAGCTTCCGCTGTTTCCCTGTTTCTTCTTCTTTGCTTTTTCTTCTTCTTCTTCTATGTGTTTTATTGCACTTTACAGACTATGTGTATTACCGCCATCTACTGGACGGAGATGTAATTCAGAAAAAAAATCCTATATATCTTCAAATCTAAAAAAAAAAAAAAACCTAGATCAAATACCTACTTATACACTCACACAAACATAAATACTAAATCCTCTCATCTAATTTTGTGTCTTTTAAATACTTAATAAGTGCTTTAACTATATCCTGTGATTGATGCTTCTCTAATAATTTAACCATATTTACTAAACTCCCTATTATCCTTTCCAGTTCCTTCCTCTCTTTTATATATTTTCTACAATAAATCAATGCATGATCTACTCCTTCTGTTTCCCCACCATAAGAAAAAATACCTGATGGATGTTTCCCTACAATTTTTAAACCTCTATTTAAACTAGTATGCCCAATCCTCAACCTGTTAATCCATACTTCCTCTCTCCTATTCATACTATTATTTCTTATGATTACCTCCTTCTGTATTTTATGTAAATGCCTTCCCCTTTCTTTTAAATTCCATCTCTCCTGCCATATATTATTTACTTTATCTTTAATAATTACTTTTATTTCTGCTCTACTTAATGGGACATCATATTCAGTTTCTCTTGCTTTAATTGCTTCTTTATCTACGCTTTCATTACCTACAATTCCTTTATGTGCTGGAACCCATGTGAATTGAATACTTATTTTTGTTGTTTTATATAACAAATAATTAACTTCATCTAAAAGATCTTGACTGGTTTCATTCTTTGCTTCTTTTTTGCCTCCAAACTACCAACCCATACAGCGCCCCTACCGGCCAGATGGGGCACTGCACGCTTCTACTGACAGCTGATTGGTCCACACCAGCCATTGTTTGTAACTTAGACTTAAACAACTTTTAAAGTTAAACAACTACTACGTTTCATTTATGTATTCTAATTTAATATCGTTTGTGGACAAAAGGGTCAGATTTGGAATCTATAATCATAGAAATATGGGTAGGAACTAAAAATATTAAAGTTATGAATTATTATAACCCAGGGAAATGATTGGCTGTAGTATCATTGGATAACCTCTTAGTGCATTTAGAAGGAAAATGTATTTGCTGTGGTGATTTTAATGGATATAATACACTGTGGGATCCATATAATAATCACAATAAAGTAATAATTCAAGAAATTATGTATAACAAACATTTAGTGTGTATAAATGATGGGAATAGAACAGTGATTGATGTAAATACAGATCAAGAATCAGCAGTAGATATTAGACTAGTTTCAAGTTCATGGTATCAGTCCATAGGCAGCGATCATTACCCAATAAAAATGCATCTGGATGTAGGAACACAGCATTATAATTAGGTCTCAGGGATGCTGAATGAGCAAAATTTATGAATATTGGTGATAAAGAAATGGAAAAAATTAATCTTAATATGGATACTGATCATTTATACTGAGTTTGTCCCCCCCAACTATATTAGTTGCAGCAATAAAAACTGATGAGGGAGTAAAGGGAAGAAAATAGTACCATGGTGGACACAGGCCTGTGAAAAAGTAATAAAATCTAGAAATAAAGCAATTCAAAAAATATAACAATACTCTAAACTTTTTTGGGTATAAAAGTTTACAAAGTACAGTCAGAAGAACCTTAAAAATACAAAAAGAGAAAATTGGAAACAGTTTTGTAATTCAGAAGGACACGAAACGGAAATTGGTCAAGTTTGGACAATGGTTGAAAAAATGAATGGATTAAGACAGGAATGTGGAAATTTTAAATCCATGTTGGGAAAAAGAAAAGAAAAACATTAGGAGTTTTGGATGGACAATTGAAAACAAAATCAAATAATTTTAAACGATAAATTTAGAAATCACTTAGACAACATCAATATCAGTTATACCACCATGGATTCTACCAGAAGCAATAGTAGATATGTCACTAATGGAACAGAAACAAGGTAAATAGTACACGGTAGATATTAATTTAGTACAGTTACATTTAGACAATTATTATAAATATATTCAAATGTATACAGATGCATCAAAAATAACAAGGAAAATAGGAATAGGTTTTGTAATACCAGAATTCAATATAAAATTAAAGCCACAAGTGGCATTGGGCGGCCCTCGCAGCTCGCACCGCCTGGTATGTTGCGATCGCGGGAACCAAGCGACCTCCACCTCCACGCTCCTTCCCAGCCTATGCTCCTGCTCTTCAGCCTATGCCTGCTGCTGCTTCTCTTCATCCTCTCCCTCCTTCTCGTTCTGCTGCTGCCACTGTTTCTTATCCTCCTCCTCCTGCAGTTTCTCCTCATCTTCCTCATCCTCCTGCTAATTCAGCTTCTCCTCATCATCCTCCTGCTTCTGCTTATCTTCCTGCATCTCCTTCTCCTCATCCTGCTGTCACTCTTGCTGCATCTCCTTCTCCTCATCCTGCTGCTGCTCTTTCTCTCCATCCCCTGCCTACTGCTGCTTCTCCTGATCCTCTTCATCCTCCTTATCCTGCTTCATTTAATCCACCTCCATTCTCCTTCTGCTGTTTCTCATCCTAATCATCCTCCTCCCCCTGTGCTCCTTCTCTTCATATTCTTCTTCCTGCTGCTGCTCTCACTGCATCTCCTACTGCTGTTTGTTTCTCATCCTCATCATCCTTCTCCTCCTAAAAGCATGGCTTTGGATGACTGGAGTTAACAGTTTGATGCTTAGCCCCGCCCACATGCTCCCATGTAGAATAATAATTTTGATAACTTTTAATTTGCTATGACTATAGTCCATGTAAAGTTAATTTGAAGTCTCAAACTCAAAAAAAACCAAGAGCCCTTCACTCAGATTTGTCATGACCTAAAAAAAGAAAATGGTATCTTTGATCCAAAATGGCCCATTTCTTGTTGGGTGTGGACCATGGCTCCCACATACTTTTTTGAGCATCGTGTTTGGTTATACAAATTTAATAATCCTTAATAAAAGCAGGGCCTGAGGCAGTCATACAGGTGCTGGTCATAAAATTAGAATATCATGAAAAAGTAGATTGATTTCAGTAATTCCATTTAAAAAGTGAAACTTGTATATTATATTCATACATTACATACAAACTCATATATTTCAGATGTTTATTTTGTTTAATTTTGATGATTACAAATGACAACAAATGAAAATCTCAAATTCATCATATCAGAAAATTAGAATATTACTGAAGACCAATAAAAACAAAGGATTTATAGAAATGTTGGCCAACTGAAAAGTATGAACATGAAAAGTATGAGCATGTACAGCACTCAGTATTTAGTTGGGCCTCCTTTGGCCTGTATTACTGCAGCAATGCGGCGCGGCATGGAGTCGATCAGTCTGTGGCACTGCTCAGGTGTTATGATAGCCCAGGTTGCTCTAATAGTGGCTTTTAGCTCTTCTGAATTGTTGGGTCTGGTGTATTGCATCTTCTTCTTCACAATACCCCATAGATTTTCTATGGGGTTAAGGTCAGGAGAGTTTGCTGGCCAATTAAGAACAGGGATACCATGGTCCTTCAACCAGGTACTGGTAGCTTTGGCACTGTGTGCAGGTGCCAAGTCCTGTTGGAAAATGAAATCTGCATCTCCAAAAAGTTGGTCAGCTGCAGGAAGCATGAAGTGCTCTAAAACTTCCTGGTATGTGGCTGCGTTGACCCTGGACCTCAGAAAACACAATGGACCAACACCAGCAGATGACATGGCACCCCAAACCATCACTGACTGTGGAAACTTTACACTGGACTTCAAGCAACGTGGATGAAGTGCCTCTCTTCTTTTCCTCCAGACTCTGGGACCTTGATTTCCAAAGGAAATGCAAAATTTACTTTCATCAGAGAACATGACTTTGGACCACTCACCAGCAGTCCAGTCCTGTTTCTCTTTAGCCCAGGCAAGACGCTTCTGACGCTGTCTGTGGTTCAAGAGTGGCTTGACACAAGGAATGCGACAGCAGAAACCCATGTCTTTCATACGTCTGTGTGTGGTGGTTCTTGAAGCACTCACTCCAGCTGCAGTCCACTCTTTGTGAATCTCCCCCACATTTTTTAATGGGTTTTGTTTCACAATCCTCTCCAGGGTGCGGTTATCTCTCTTGCTTGTACACTTTTTTCGACCACATCTTTTCCTTCCCTTCGCCTCTCTATTAATGTGCTTGGACACTGAGCTCTGTGAACAGCCAGCCTCTTTAGCGATGACCTTTTGTGTCTTGCCCTCCTTGTGCAAGGTGTCGATGGTCGTCTTTTGGACAACTGTCAAGTCAGCAGTCTTCCCCATGATTGTGTAGCCTATAGAACTAGACTGAAAGACCATTTAAAGGCTTTTGCAGGTGGTTTGAGTTAATTAGCTGATTAGAGTGTGGCACCAGGGGCCATCAATTTTGAACCTTTTCACAATATTCTAATTTTCTGATATGATGAATTTGAGATTTTCATTTGTTGTCATTTGTAATCATCAAAATTAAACAAAATAAACATCTGAAATATATGAGTTTGTATGTAATGTATGAATATAATATACAAGTTTCACTTTTTAAATGGAATTACTGAAATCAATCTACTTTTTCATGATATTCTAATTTTATGACCAGCACCTGTACTCTAGCCATACTCTAATGGCGAGAAGTCTGATTTTGATGCTCGGCCACGCCCACATGGTTTGTCACAGCAAAAATCTTTTGATTACTTTTGACCCCTTATGTCTTAAGTCGAGGCTCAGCAAGTTAGAAGTTTTCCGCCCCCTTGCTCCTTCCCAGCCAGCAGAAAAGGTGCCACGCTTCACCTCTGGACCAGCCGTAGAAAACCACAGCATTGGTCAGGAAGGGTTAAACTAGGGATAAAATATAATATCTGGGATGAATCTCATCTGTGAGATAGATGCTGCGGCCATCTCAGGTGGTGGGTCAAAAGTATATGTTCAAAAGATGGAGAAACGGCACCGCCAAAATCCACGGTTAGCGGTATTACACCCTACTCAAAACAAAAAAAT